TAATGGCCCCAGAAAGACCCTGTGCTTTTCTCTGGTTCACTAGCTCCTAGGTTAACACATTACACAGGGGTCCTTATTTTCCACTGCCTTGCACCTTGTGTCATCATTTACACTTGTGCAAAAATCATCATTCTGAACTGGTGAGGGTTTATACTCACTTTGTACTGATATAAATGACTATGCAAGGTGCACAAATCTGAAGGTTCTTACTGATATGTTACTCAGACAAAACTCCCATTGAAGTCAGGCTATCAGGCCTAAGTTGTCCTTAAGTCCTGCTCTGGACTGAACAGCAAGGGACAGCTGACTACACTAAATCCCATACAGATGGGTTTGTGTACACTGAAAAAGAAAATGTGTTCTTAATTCGGGTCAGCTAACTCAGGTTAGAATAGCAGAGAAGACATAGCATCTCAGCTTTTAACTCCGGTTAGCAGCTCAAGTTCACCCCTAGGCTTACGATTTAACCATAGGTTTGTCAGTAGGACACTATAGCATTAGGACGTGAAGGGCAAAGATATTTCCGCTCACTCTTCTTTTCTCATGTCAGCCTTTCCCTTGTATCATTGGTGGGTTTCCTTCTTTCTGTTTGGTGGAAAACAGCAATGTGCTCTTATGATTTTCAGTTTCTGGCTTTTAATTATAAATGAAAAGGTGATGATAGCTCTCCTCACTCCCTTCCTTCTCCCCCAACCTGAAATTAGAGTGCTTCATTCCTAGTGAAGCTGAGGCCCAAGGAAGACTGACAAATTGTCAACTGTCTGCATATCATATTCTCATCTGTAGCAGCCCATTTTGTAGACCCTGGATGTTGATACATATGGGGTACCCTGGGATAGAAAGTGGAAGTCCCTTTGGCAGTGAGAAAGGAGGGAGCAAAGTATGGAGGTGGGATGTTCAGATGAATTGTTATGTAAACCTTTTATTTGCATTTGCTTGATTCCCAGTGATCTCTGCCTGCAGGGGCTCTAAAATAAAACACTGATCACTAGTCTACACTGAGGGTTTCTGCCCCTGGTATAGCTGCACTGGCTCAAACCCTAAAGGTAGACTGGCAAAGGCATCATTTGCACAGGTGCACCTTGCCTCTGTTTAAATCCTGGATAAGCTGAGCCAGTGCAAATTACAGCATACTGTTACCTTAGGGATTGCACTGGTGGAGCTATACCGGTGGCTGGCCAGAATGTATGGACCGCTTTGCACCTCCAGAAGTGTTGTACAGATTTTTAATTAATGAACTTCTTTAACTCAGAGGCCTAAGAGCTAGCTAATTTTACTGTAGAATAAGAACCAAACAGGAACCGATCCAGAGCTTTTATAACAATGCCTCTGCCATGCCCTATTAGGAAGGATGGAACCCTGGATCCTCTGCTCTATCACTTCAGCTACAGGAGTAACTCCTTTAGTTGATTTGCTTTATTAGGTTCTTATCCCCTAGACTAGCCACTAGAAGGAAACATAACACACCTAGCACATTACACACTCTGTGTGGCAGAAGAAGCTCATCCTAAACATCTGAAGCGCACAGGTGTTCAAATTCCCTTACAATCCACCTCTGTTTAACAACTCCCCACTACGGGTTATCAGGAAGGATAGCAGCCGGGACTTTTCAGCTCCAAAGCCTTTACTGCTTGAACTAAAAGAGCAACTTGCTTAACTACTAGCAGTAGTAGGCTCTTGTCCTTTACGTGGATTAGCCACTAGCAGGCCACACACACACAAAGTGTCTCTTGCTCGTAGCCATCATGTGACATTGGCAAGCAAAAATCCAAAGGAAAGGTTTAATTTTTCTTTTTCAAATATACACAGTTAAGCGAATTTGGGGCTGGAGAAAGGTGCTGGATTGAGAGCCCTTGAGAATGTCGTCCTCTCTCTACCTGCACGTCAGGCACAAGACAAGCAGCACTAGGGCAACCTTCCTTTATTTGTATTTTTTAAATTTGGCTTGGAGGGAGAGAGAAATTCCAGTGATCTCAAATATGTAAGGCCTAATTCTGTTCTCTGTTACGCCAATGTAAATCTTGAGAAATTCCTTGAAGTTAGTGAAGTTAACCCATTGTAGAACCAGTGTGAAAGTACAATCAGGCTCATTGTCTGGTTTCTACAAGGCATGTAGTGTTTCTCAGTGTTTAACATTTATTAACGAGGTAGACACAATGGTTAAGCTTGAGCTTTTGACGTTGTCTGACAAGTTCGTGGCCAGGGAGAGGCACTGGACAATGAGACACTGATGAGTGGCGTTCTGATATATATTTCTCCCCTTTCAGGGAGTCCCTTGCACCCACCCACCCATCCCCAGTCTGTATACTGCTTGTCAGTTACACACAGGGACCAACACTCAAAGAAGAAATGGAGGTGACTTACCTGTAACTGGAAGTTCTTGAGATGTGTGGTTCCTATTTGTACCTTCCGCTCTGCTTTGGATCTTACCTGATTCGTGGTAAGAGGAGGAAATGGAGAGGTTTCGGCTTGCACTATCTCTTATGCCCTCTGTCTGGAGCACAAAGAGAGCAACTGTGCACATGTGGGCCAACAGACACTGCTTACTAAGAATCTCCAGACTTGGATGTGTGGCACACGTTTACCCATGTGTGGGATAAAGATAGGGAACTCACATCTCCAAGACTTTCCAGTTACACATTAGTAGTCTCCACCTCATCCTTAATTGTTAACATATTTAAATTCAGATCCTGCAATCTAAGGTACCAGCAATTCAATATAGTACCTTAGGGGAGAACACTACTGCTTCAGGTTAGTCTTTTGTCACCGTCACTGTCCTCTCGCAGGCGGCGTTCTGCATGGTGCAACCATGTAGTGCTGTACCATTGCAACAGTGGGGCTGCTGGGAATCCAGCTACGAAGAATACAACTGGAAATTAAGCCAGAGTATTTTAGTATGGGGCAAGGGGGGAAGAGTTAAGGCTGATGCAAACGTGATGCACTTCTTCTTTTTGTAAAAGACATTCAGAGCTCTGCCTCACGTCGGAGGCCAGGGGAAAGCGATGGACAAAGAGTAAATCTGTGCATAGCCACAAGTGATTAGTGCCAAGGAGTCGCTGTCCAGTCAGAGGAGTGGAGCCAAGGAGGAGCAGCAACGGTAGCATTGCACTGCTGTGAGAGCTGTGCACCAGCAATGCCGTTAATTTATTGAGTAGACTGAATTTAGATGTGGGCGCGTGGTCCGGTCCTAGAACAGCTGGGTGCAGGGAGTTGCCCAAGGCAGCGGGCAGGCTGTTGCTGGACCTAATTTCAAATGGGTTTGTCATTGCTGAGCTCTTCGTTTCTATGACTTGTTTATGTTATGGCTGAAGAGTAAAAGTGCTTTGTGCCGTGCCGGCACTTGACCAGCTGAGTTTGAACACGGGTTGTGTGGTGTGCGAAGAGAAAGTTCCAACAAACCTGGCACACAGTGCAGAAGAGGGAGGGAGCTAGAAAGGCGGGTGGGATTCATTTCCTGGGCATAAATAAGGGTATTTTCACAGTTTCCAAAGTATGGTTTACAGTGATGTAAAAAGTAGGCATACATCTGAGGACAAACCATTGGATTTAGTGGTAGAACCCCCATTCACTCCACTGGGGCCAGATCTTTCTGAGACACAGGCTAATATGAGTCCATCTGGATGTGTGGTTTGCCATGTGAAAAGGCCTCCCAATGTTCGTTGTCTCTCAAGGATCCAAATCCACTATATTCAGCTTATAAGTAAAAAAGATGGGTTTTTTCCTCCTCACTCTAAACCCCAGTCTGGGCTCTGAGAATTAAGCAGGATTTTTTCCATTTTGTGCAGTGCCATTGGTTGCACAGGTCTCACTGATTCAAACTTAATAGACAGTTCTGTTGATGATGCACAAGAAGTAATAGAATCCAACATACTCTCCTGCAGCTGTGTTGGCTCTGCAGTGCTGATGGGAGTAAAAAGCAGCAAAAACTTATTTTAGTCACTAAAGGCAAGCAGATCTGACTGAATACACACAGGAAGTAGATCTGTTGAGTAAGAAGGTGTCATTTTTATGTTGCTACCCTTCAGAGCAGAACCGTACTTTATGGAAGGGAAGTTGAAAGGTAAAGGGACAGATGCTAGTCTAACACTAGTGTAAATTGAGCGATCTCATTGGAGTTACTCCAGATTTACACTATTGTAAATGAGAGAAGAATTTGACCTATAGTCTGTAATAGCTATTGATACCCCTAGTGCCAGTTACTGGTTGGTTTTATTTTTATTCGTTTAGGTTTGTCTCTGTCCCAAATGTTGTGGTATCATCTAGATAAATGGTCGGAGAAGGATTCCCTCATTCTGTTGCATGTATGACCATATAACTGCCCTGAAAATTATTTTGGGACAGGAAACCATCAGTGGGTTTCAACATTTCATCAGAACATGTTGATGCTTTTGCATGCTGTGATAACATTGCATCATGATGTCCATTTGTCCGGCAGGAGAGACTGAAATAGAAAGATGACAGCCCCATTAATTGTGGCAGCACTGGGAGAATTTGGAAGTGATCTTAGGCCAGGTCTGCACTATGGAATTTTGCCAGCACAGCTCCATTAATCAGTGGAGTGAAGAGGTATGATCCCCGATGGATATAGCTGTGCTGGCAAAAGCCCCCTCTGTAGACACAGTTATATGGGAAGAGCTGCTCTTGAGCCAGTATAGCTCATTTGTCTTAGTGGGGGCCAGAATAAGCAATACTGTCAAAAGCTCAGTTTTACTGGTATAAGCTACGTCTGCATTAGAAGTGCTTTGCGAGTATAGTACACTGATATAGCTGTACTCTCAAAGCGTTCCTAGTGTAGACATGGGTTAAGTCCTAGTGCTGCAGGATCTTCTGCAGTTTATTCATTATTCACAGGGGTTTTTTTTCCTGGGAGTAAGAAGGACTAATGGAAAAACATTTGCATATAAATAGCCAAACTGCCATGTAAGATGCTACCAGCAAAGAGCTTAACAGGGGATGTCTCTAACCATCTTTCTCTCTCTATCTCTCTGTTTCTCCTACAGGGCTTGTGAAGTTGGGGGTTCACTGTGTAACATGTCAAAAGGTCGCGATAAAAATTGTCAACAGAGAGAAGCTCAGCGAGTCGGTGCTAATGAAGGTAATTTTCTAATGGGAGATTTGAGGGGGGGAAGCATAGTTCTTGGCTCTGTGGCTTCTGTTCCATGCAAAATTAATATCTTTAATTATGTTTAACAAACATCCCTGTCAGTTCTAGGACTGTGCTGTGCATAATAATAATAATAATTCAGGGGTGGGGGCGGCTGGAATTAAAGAGAAGGAGTATGCATGTGCTTTAATTAAGAGCAAAATTAATGGCCAGCCTCAGTGCTGTTACTGCTGGGCTATGGCAGATGCATGTGTTGGGGTTCTAAGTTCCACCAGATGGTGTGTGATGCCTGTTACTCTTGGAGATTGGTGAGGACATCTATTCTGTTATGTGCGTGTTCTTGCTGCTGTTCTGTGGTATGGTTTCATTCTGCTCTTTGATCTAATGCACCAGATCCTCGTCTGGTGTAAACTGGTATAGTTCCATTGATATCATTGGAGCCATGACATTTTAAACCATATAAGGATCTAGCCCAATGAGTTTAATTACCAGGAGAACCTGCTGTTTTGTTTGTCTGATTTGATGAACAGCAGGGCCAAATACAGCCCTGACATGAGTGGAATCAACAGAATTGCACGGTTTAAGACAGCAGTGAATTTGGCCAATGTATGGGCAGTTTGCAGCCCATTGTTGACCACATATGGCACAAGTCTTTTCACTATTGTCACTGTGAGGAGTTTCGTTGTGTGTGCGCTTATGTATAGTAGCTATTTTCCAGTACTAGTAGGTACAACAACCTCACTGGGAATGGAAGGAAAATTGGGGATTGAAAGAACACCCTGCTAATTTTAGGTCCAAACTTTAGATTTAACAGAAAAAGGGGGTCAGCATTTCTTCAAGTGAATGGAAATATTTTCAGCCTTTGTTTTTTGGAATTTCAGTGATATATTTTCCTCAACCACCTTCAGCACTGGGAACTCAAATGGCCATGTGCTAGTCCACAAAATCCAGGAACTGAAATAGACAGGCAACAAAACTAGAACTTAAAGGGCAACTGCCCAGTCTAGTTTCGTTTTCTAAGGGGAGTAAAATGAAAAAGTAAATAAACTGCATACCTGGCAAACATTAAACTAGACTTTTAATACTTTGATTAATTAGTAACACAGATAAGGAATTTATTTAACATGATTTTTATGTTAATTGTGAGACCCTTTTAATGTGCAGTGTCTTATATCAAAGATGTTATTTGTCTCATTGATATTTCATTGAGGGGGGGCAAAGCAGAACTTCTAGCATTGCAAAGTGATCCCTTTGTTTTGAGCTGATTCACTGTTGTGTTACTCCAGTTATGTGTAAAACTGGAGTAATGCATTGGTGGCCCTTGTTTCCAGGGATAAGTGCTGAAGAGTGTCACATTCCCTGTGCAATTCTGCAAAATTCTTCTCTGCAGGACACCATGTATTGTGATTTCCTGCTGAACCTTTCACATCACTGCCCACAAAACTTTCTCTTACTAAGGCTCTCCACTGCATACTCAATAGGCTGCGATAGCATATGGAAGTGGAGTGGGTATCTCATTTATTACATAAATGTAGTGACCAAATGTCTTTTCAGGATTGCTCTATGTCTGACAGTCAGAGACGAGGCTTTGGCTCTCTTAAATTAAGTTGGGGAGGACTATTAGCTATTTTAATCCTCAGTTCTTCAGGAGAAGAACTGAGGAGACATGAATTCAGTTACTCCCAATTCATACTACAACATCACAATACAGCTGCTGCCAGCCAGCTGGCTGAGAGCCTACAGGGCAGAGTCAGCAGCTACAGGGAAGAAGCCCAAGGTGGGGTCAGATAGTGTGTGGCTATATGCTGCCAGTCCCATCCTGCAAATGCTCCCTCTGGCTCCTCAGTCCCAATGGCAGGCCGTAGCTCTCTCTGCCAATGGGCCACTCACCTCAGTCAGTGGATCCAAATGTTGCATTCTCCACAGTCACTCTCCCAAACCAGGGCCCAGATCCATGGAACCTTCCTTAGTCTACCTCTGAAATGGATTTGATAAACATTTCCACCTGCAGTATTGAGGATGCAGAACTGTGGCCATTTACCCTAGAGCATAAGGAAGAAGTCTGCCCTTCAGCATCTAAAATAAGCACCAGTGGCCCACACAGCATGCAGCTCTCTCCTGCAGAGGACTGCCATTGTTGTTCTGTCTGTATCTGCTTCTTAGAGCTTTTTTCTCTCCAGTATTTTTTCAGCTAGCCCTTTTTTCTGTGTGTGTTTTGTACATTCAGGGAACTGGCCCTTCTCCCCACAGCTGCTCCTCATCTGAACTTTGCAGAATTGAGAGGCATTTGGTAAAGTGCTTTCTAATCATAGCATAATACTATCAATATTTCTGGAGAGAATAATTCGGAATTGAAGCAGCTGGTCTCAATTAACAGAACTGCCGCTGTGGAGATGACACAAGAGCAGGCGTGGTGCAGCATGAAGCTGCAGTAAATGTATAATGTGAGCCCCATTAAAGGGACTGGATTGTAGGTAGACTGCTAAGCAGATGTGTATGGGTTGTCTGTGGAGTAGGCACTTGGTGTTCTTACACTTTCATGTTGTGCATAAATCCGAGAGTCGTGCTTCTTGCATAGGTCCACCTCTGTCATGGTTGGAACATTGATTTTAGGTTGAAGCAACAACAATGTGTAACGTCTTAGACCCGTACAAAAGACAGAGGGCCTGATTTTGACTTCACTCCACTTTTGCACTGGTGTAACCGATTTGAGCTGGATCATCCATCTACATGTTTGGTAGCATCCATTGATTTGTGGACACAGTGGGCCAGATTCTTCTCTCATTTACCCTCGTGCAAATTAGAAGTAACTCTGTTGAAGTCAATGGCGTTATGGCAGTTTTCTCCAGATGGGGACCTGGCTCATTAACTTCAATGGAGTTACTTCTTATTTGTCAGCAAGAGGAGAACTTGGCCCAGAAAGTCCAATGTCCATAAATCAGTAGCCATTACTGACAATACAAATTTGCAACCTGTGGATTTGATTTTCAATGCCAACAGGGGAATTGAGCCACACAACCCCCACTGAAATTAACGTGAGTTGTGTGACTAAACTGCCTAGTCAGTTTTGAACATCTCAGCCTGTGTGTTGCATGTTAAGTTTATATCCTCTAGAGCTGAGTTACTCTATGAGCTGCTCATTCACAGTCCTCCAAACATGGTGGGGAGATGGAGTTTGTGGCATCCTGTCGCTTTAAATCTAAAAAAGACCTTGTGAACTCCATAGCTAGCATTCTGGATTCTACAGCACTCTGTGTGGTGCTGCAGATTGGAAGTTCTGCACCAGCATCATTTGCACTTTAAAAAGGAGGATTTTAATGAATTAAAAATGAAAATGGTAGTACAGGATAGTAGCCCTTGTGTTATTTACTATAATATTAAATTCCATTTCATTTATGCTATCCTCATATTTTCAGGTTTTGAATTTGCGGCAAACTTGTCTACTGTCAGTGCCTCACTGCATCATGTCAGTTGTCAGAGGTGATGCTGGAGCTTTCGGCAGATGGATTGGGAGCAGTTGTGGCTTTTGGCACCTACGGAGGTGTGGAAAGGATTTAGGGATTGTGAGATAGACAGAAAAGTAGGATATTTCTGCTAAAAATAATCAGCAGTGAGGTTCGTTCACAGTGGTGACAGGTTATTATTTTTTTGATTTCAGAGTTAATACCCCCTTTGAGATTAATGTGATCATGTCACCCCTCTCAGAGCTATTGTTTCAGCCTATCTGCAGATTCAGGCATGAGCTTATACTTTGTTCGTGCGTCCAAGATTTTCTACCTGACTATCAGAAACATAGTTATGTTTATTTAAATGGACGTTTAGATTCTGGAGCACAATTTCTCAGCAGGCGGTCAATTCTACAGCAAGTTCTGCAGCAGTGGACTCACAGAACACATGGGGCCCTGAATAACTGCAGCAAGGGGTGCTAGTAATATTATAAAGAATTGGCCTTGTAGCTGATTGGCTAAATTGCAGCTTTAAGTCACTGCCACAGGCTGGTGAATGCATCCTGTCAGCATGTTATCCTGAAGCTTGAGCTGAATCTTTATATATCCCTCCAGAGAAAGAGATGTGTAACAGGAGTATAGGAAAGACTCACAGGACATGATTTCCACTTGTGTTACAGCCTCTTTTCACTACCCTGGCAATCGAAGGGTAGTCTAAATGAGCTGGAAAGTGGGCATAATTTTCTGCTACAGTGATGTGAAGTGGTCTTAGTGCAATGGAGAATTCAGGATGTGGTATTTATCCATGAGTAATGAAACTTAAAAGCAAATCATGGTTCTTTGTTCAGTGATCATTATTTTGAATTGTAGCTCAAACCACCGTTATTAAACCTAGGGCACGGGTATTGGATTTCCACAGTTAGAGCGAGAGCTTACCAACGGTAGTATTACCCATTCCCACAAGGGGACTCTCAGAAGAACAGGAAGTAAGGTATGCATCCTGCTTCGGATAACTTCCCAAATTGTACAGGAAGGAGCCCTTCTGGGTTTAAGCAGTTAGTTGGGGCAGTGTGTGGGTGTCACAGGGAACCCTCTCTCTGATATAGCTGAGGTGTATTTGGAAAGTTTCTGTAAGTCACCTGAAACACTGCCAGAATATGCACAGCTGCTTTTTGTTTGTTTGTTTCAATGTGTTTTTGGTGAGCCGTCACGTGAAATGTTTTTCCTGGAAAGGCTGTGCTTGTGGCACCAAGAGGAAGGTAAGAGGTGAGTGGGAAAGAGACGGTGGCCTTTGATTAGTTGCCTAGACACACAGGGATCCTGAGAAAACCACAGGCAGGCACAGGCTTGACAACAGAGAATTGACCTACACTTGCCCTTCTTTGTGTGCATGTGTCCTTTATTTATTTTACATCTTGCCTTGTGTGTTGGCTTTTAATGGAGGCTAGTATCTCAGGGGAGTGGACCCCCTTCATCATTTTCCCTGTAATGTCACACATCTAGGAGCAAAGAATGTGGCCATTCTTATAGGATAGGGGGCTCTAT